CTGGGGATTTCCATTTTGGAGATTTCGTTAGAGCTTGCCTAACATCATCTGTGGATATATTTTCCCATTCTTGCAGAGGTGTATCCAGCATTCGTACTTCTCCACGCCGTATCCATTCTGCATTTGGGTTATACTCCTTTGGGCTGCTCCAGATATTTTCCCAAAATGTCTGTACATTATCAATCGATGGTGGCCTTTCGACATGTATAGGTGTTTTTCCAATTTTCCTGTTAAAATTTCTTAAGATCTGTTCGGAATATTTTATTTTGGCGATAGAACCTACAACGTTTTTCGTATCGTCTTATTATTATTATTATTATTATTATTATTATTTTCTTTGATTTCTGACGTTTACTCATTTCTTTCCGGGTCCAGCCCAGAGATATAAGGTTAGAAATGGCATCAGGACACTTTCCACTGACAAATTAAAAAAAATATTACATAGATAAAGCCCTTCGTAAAGTATAGACTGTACTTGTCAGAACATTTTTTGTATCTCTTTGAGGCATAAACTTCCAGGAATCCCTTCAATTAGTCTACTGGAATCTTTTCCAACCAGTTCTAGGGTTCCAACTACAACAGGGATTATTGATGTTTCCATGTGCCACATTTTTGAGATATCTATTTCAAGGTTCTTGTATTTTGACAACTTTTTGAATATCTTCAAAGATACATTGCAGTAAACAGGGACTGCCGTATCAATAAGGAGGCTCTTTTTTTGGTTTGTGGTCATTAATAACAATATCTGGGCGGTTGGCTTTGATTGTTCTGTCAGTGTGTATTGTGTAGTCTCATAGAATTGTAACAGGTCCTTATTATTATTATTATTATTATTATTATTATTATTATTATTTACTTGGACTTCTGTTGTACATTCATTTCTTTCCATGTCCCAACCGAAGACCTGTGGTCAGAAATGGCTTCATGACATTTTGCACTGAGCATTTTAGTATATATCCTTGATTGGTGGAATTTAATTTAGGTATTTAATTTTATATCTCCGCTTGATCTTCCTGCATTTGAGTGTTGAGATATTTGGATTTCTTGAGATCTCAGATTCTCATTTATTTTCTTAAGTTTGATTTCAAGCTACTGATTAACTTTCTGCTATGGACACACTTCTGATTTGTGTTGTTATAGCATTTTTTTTTTTTTTTTTTTTTATCGCTAGCGTTACATAGACAAAGTTCTCCTATTGTGTCAATTTTCTGTATGTCTCTCTTAGCTGGGGTTTCCAGGATTTTTCAATGTGTTGTTTGTTCCATTTTTTTATAATCCCAAGTTACCTATTATTGGTTATTATTATTTTTCTATTTCAATTTCCAGGTTTTGTTTTTGTTGTTTTCCGCTGGACAAGCCATATCAATTTAGGCAAGTTTTTCTTTTGATTTCAATTTTCCTGTCTGTGGTATACTCATTTCTTTTCTGTAACGGGTTTCGTTCATACCAGTTTTTGTTACCTTTTTCCAAAAGTGTTTGCAATTATCCATCCCCATGACGATTTTATATTCATTTGGGGCAAAAAAAAGATTAGATGGTCTATTGTTTCTTGGTATTTGTCAAAGCCCTTTTGGATCCATTATTATGTATGATATTTGCCTGAAAATTCTGTGAAAAGACTCTGGTCTTGAAGAATAAAGTTTTTTTTGATGCTCGTAACCATTATCTTTTTATTTGCACGTTCTGGATATTGGCCATGCAGAGGTTTGTCTTGCCAGTTGTTTCAAAGGGCTTTATCCTTGGCTTCATATCTTTGCTGCAATAGTTGGTTCTTGGCTTCTGTTTTGATTTACTACAGAATCTACTAAATGTAAATGTTGTTTGTATTTACTGCCTTCTTTTTATTGAATATTTTTTCTTTCTGTTTTCATGTTGTTTCACTAATTTTATCATCCAGTCATTTGTTGTTTCCATGTAAGTTAGTAAGCAATAGTTGGTCTTGTATTTCTAGCTGAATAAGACCTCTTCCACCTTCTTTTATGGTTCAGCCTTTGGATGATGCATCTTATACTTAGATCCATTTGTCTGATGTCATTTAGTCCAGTTCAAGAAACCACTGGGATGTTTTTAATGGCAAAATAATTTTTTAGACCAGTTTCAAGATTTCCTTGTATTTTGATACCTATTTGCTAAATATTATTAAAAACTTATTATTAAAACTTATTTAGCACATTTATTATTATTATTACTGAAGCATTTACAGTCATGAAATATAAGAGATTATTATTATCTACCGCGTCGAGGATTCAAAAAAAAAAAAAATTTGTTGTTGTTTTTGTTGTTTTACAGTTTCATTTCAAACCAGAGACCTGTTAAAAAAATGACATTCCCACTCGAAAAAAAAAAAAAAAAAAAAATAGAGATGTATTTCTTTATTAACCCAATTAGTCTATTGGAATCTTTTCCAACCAATTCGAAACTACAACAGGTTGTTGATGTTCAATCTTTTAAATTTAGGGTCCTTGTATTTTGATAATCATCCGTTTTTTATTAATATTATTATCTGTATCATAGCAAAAATTCAAAAAAAACAAAAAAAAACAACCAGTTTCATCAGATGCGTTATTAACCCCGAAAGGTACAATCTAAATGGGTGATGCGAAATCATCCGTTTTTGCCTAGTTTCCTGTATCGTAGCAAAAATCACAATGAGATGCTTAAGGCCGATATAAGAATTATAATCATTCAATAGACAAGATGGAAATGACACTTATGGCAAACAACGAGTAAATCAAGACGACTGTCTGCGGTTTTAAATATTAAAATAGCGATGATAGAAACGTCAAACTGAACAGCTCAGCGGAGATGAGACTGTCTTAAAAGTATTTAAGTTTCATTATTAGATGCACGACTAACAAAGAAAATATACGGATGCAGTCTGTGATCAGAGAAAGAAAATTAAACGGATAAAGTTATTCACATTTTAGAAAAAGATCTTTATAGTTAATAATCTCAACTAAGCAGAAGGCAAATTATTTTTTTAAATAAAAGGTAGGAAGACAATCTAGCGCCAAATTCCAAATCAAATGGTGAGAATATCCGCTTCCATAGAGAAAATAATCGGCATTTATTGACCGAAGATTTCTTCTTAAAAGAGTTCTCAGGAAATTATGCTTTTCCCATCTTCTAACTGTGGTCGCTTTTTCTAAAATCCCACGTGCTGTATGCTTGGAATAATGGGGCGGATTTGTTAAACTGAAACGATCCCGTTGAGATACACAAGGGTGTCTCCTGAAATACCCACAAAAAAAACATGTATGTGTCTTGGATATTATATATATATATATATATATATATATATATATATATATATATATATATATATATATATATATATATATATATATAGCAACCATAATATAAGGAACGTGTGACATAAATATGTGATTATAAAAAGTAATGCATGATTAGCAATGAAATTTTCCTGAAAAAGATTACCCAATGCAAAAATTATACAAAGTTACAAAAATTTACATAATAGTTTTTTTTTAAATAAAGATTAAATGGAACTCTACCGGACAAAAGTTGAGTGAACGATCTTTTAATACTTGATTGCAAAAAATATCAAAAAATGGTAAACACCTTTATTTTAATGACTTCTCTGCATCGTCGACCAAGAATATATATATATATATATATATATATATATAATTATATTTTTCTATATATATATATATATTCTGATAAAAATATATATTATGGCGTAATCTTGGTACCACATGCTGCTGAAGAAGCCTTTTATAAAATCTCCCAGGATATAATGATAAGGCCAACACCTGCATTTTTTTTTCGGTAAAAACCTTTCATTACGTAAGTTTTGCCCTCGAATCATGCAAACTTGGACTTCACTGAAATGAACTGTATCCCATTGTCAATCCACACATATTTATGTGCCCTTTGGTTTCGTTTTTGAAATGAGTTTCCGTTCCTTATTTTATGGCCGCTATTATCTGTCTCTTCATTAAATTTATTAATGTAAAACGGTTTTTTGTAGATATTCTAACAACAAAGGTCTGCCAGTTTTTGGTTTGCATCTAACGTTTTATCGGTTTTATAAAATTACAAATGAACGACAAAATAAACAATATCAGAAATTTCTGAAATTGCCTTTTTTTTTGATAGTTAGCGATAATGAGTTTTTTCTTTAAAGAGAAGGCGTTTTGCGACAAAAATAATTTGTGCATAAAAAATAAATTCCTAATGATAAATCAATCTTTGCTTATTGTTGAAAAGTATGCGTTCGAAACAATACGTATTAAAAGTTTATGCAAATTATTAAGTGTCCTGTAATTTGTTCCATTTAATCTTTATTTATGCGTTTACCATGGTAAAAAGAAACATGCATTATTTTCTGCGAGAGACTTATATTAATTAATGTTGTTGTAAATGACAAAAAATAATTTGTGCGTAACAAATGTAAAGTTAAGAAAAGAGGAGTGAAATATTCGACATCGTGTGTGTGTATGTATGTTATAGTGCTGGATGGCCCCCCCCTCGTTACATGTTTTATCAGGAAAAGTTTTTGAGACAACAGTTTTGGAAATTAGGACAAAATAACCTGACACAAGATCCAATTTCTGTTGGGTTCGTTGTATTCATTAAATTTGCTGAGGCATAATTACCTAACAATAAATCATACACTCTAAAAATATTTTCTGGCTTTAAATAACCTGAAAAGGCTTGATAAGCCATAGAAAATAAATCAAATTAATTCATAAGCGTTTTGATTAATTGATTTGTTTTCTACGGCTTATCAACATTTTTTCAGTGTTATTTAAAGCTATTTTTTTATTATTATTATTATTGTAAGAATGTTTTTGGAGATAATAATAATTTAATGATACAAGACCTACTATTTAACCCACAGCTGGGGAGAGAAGAAGATGATCCATTTCTTTCACAAGGGTATTTGCGAGTAAGGGAATATAAAGATCCCAACGGGAATTGGAATTTGGCTTTCCGAGTCGTTATCTATGACTCCATCCGCACATGGAAGCATAGAGCACCTGGTATTCCCATACGGTTACCCATCTACGTCCCGACCAGGCTCGACGTTGCTTAACGTCAGTAATCGTATGAGAACTAGTGTTTCAACGTTATATGGCCGTAAGCCTTTTATTTTGTTTTTGGAAGTTAACAGATTATATCATTTTCTTTTCTATGCTAAATTATTGTTTTTGTTCCTCTTGGAAGTGTTCAAGTGATGTGAGTTGTATTATTTAGTGAAGCTATTTATTTGTGATTGTGTGGTGCCATTCGATAGAGTTCGAAGAATGATCGTCTTCAGGATTAGTTCGTGTGAAGGATTTTTTTACTGATCTATTACACAAGATACTATCAGGTCATCCCATAAGTTCTGTCCGAATTTTGAATAAAGAAAACAAGTGACCAAATGTTACATTTAATTACAGATTCAATCAACAATGTATTTTCCCTGATTATTTATGAAACCCTTTCATCTATTAACAAGCTTACTAATTCCATTACTGTAAAATTCTTTTGGCTTTGATTCGAAGAACTCACAAATGTCAGTTTTAACCTCTTCCTGTGTTACTAAAGCTGTTTCTTCCAAATGATTATGTCAGCTACGAAACATATGGTAGTCGGAAGGATCAAGATCGGGAGAATAAGGTGGATGAGGAATTTTCTCCCAACCAAGTTCTTCGATATTTTGTGACGTGATTCTTGCTGTGTGGGGTCGCGCATTGTCCTGATGAAACATCACCTCTTTTCGATTCACTAGAGCAGGTTTTTTCCTCAAAGCTTGGTTCAAACCCTGTAATTGCTGACAGTATATTTGAGCATTAGTCGTTGCATTAGGTGGTAAGAATTCAAAGTGGATTATTCGTTGGCGATCCCACCAGATTGAAAGAAGAACCTTTTGCCCATGAAGTTCACTTCTCGACTGTTGCTAGGGTCCTTCCCCTTTACCAAGCCACTGTCTACGACGCTTAACATTTCGATAAAAGATCCATTTTTCGTCGCCAGTCACAAGTCTATCCAAAAGGTGAAACAAGTTAGCGAGAATGGAGAGAAGAGCAGATGTCAACTCAGGATTTGAGGTTGTTTTCAGACAATTCATGAGGCACCCATTTTCCAAGTTTAGGAACATTTCCAAGTTGTTGAAGATGACGATGAACAGTTGTATGGTTTGAACTGAGAACCACTTGTTTCCTCAACTGATAAAGCAGGATTTTCTTCAAGGACTGCTTCAAGAAGCTTTCATCAAACTGAACTGGACGTCCAGTTGGATCTTCATCTTCAAGGGTGAAATCTCCACCTCTGAATTTTGCAAAACCATCTTCTGCAAGTTCTTTCATTCATTCCTCTCCATAAACTGAGTGAATGTTTCTAGCCGCTCCGGCTGCTGAGTTTCCTTTCTTGAATTCATAAAGCATTATGTGCCTCAAATGATTCTTGGGTACTCCCATATTAGCAGTGTTTTAATCAAACACAACTTAATTTTATTGTTCCCTGAAATAAAACTTGATCAGTTTAAATGCATCTAAACATAAAAATAATGTTCAGCTCCATTAAATATTATAAAATACTTTTTAAATTTCGTTCATTTTAACAAAAAGTTAAAATTGGGACAAAACTTATGGGATGACCTGATAGTTTAAACATTTTTCAACCAGTCGGATGTCGTTAATTACATCCACAGCGTTAAAATTTATAATCATTTTAGGATATCGGCGATCATCTTTCTCCGCGAATTCTGTTTCTTTATAAACTGTAAATTACCCGGCATTATTTTAAAATAAATTCTCCATAAGCAAGGCAATAAAGCCACTAAGACATAATGGGTTACAGAGTGTGAAGGAATATGAGAAAAAGAAAACAACACTTAAGGAGAGAGGAAAATAAAACAGCATTTAAATTTTTGAAATTGACTGGAAGTGAGAGAGAAGAAAGTGTTAGAATAGAACTTACAGTTCCATCTAGCCATCTCAACTTACCGCCAATCCAGTACTGCATTTAAATGTTTTTTAAAAGTCTGTGTGACAAAAAGGAAAACACATTAGAACATTAACCATGAAAATATTTGTAGAAAAAAAACAAAGGAAAGTCACGTTAAAGTGAAGAGAAAAATTAACTGAAGCCAAAATGACAGTTGGGGACCAATAGTTTTGCAGATTCATCTTTGTATTTTATGAAGAATCTTTAAATCCATAGCAGAAGCATAAGTTCAGATGTAACAGCAATATTCATTGCATGGTAGAAAGTAAGATTTATAAATGGGCAAGATAAATTCGCATTATTCGGATTATTCTCCTCATCTTTGTCGCCATATTTAGCACAATGTTTCGGCCGTTTTACGCTTCGGCCTTCTTCAGATGTTTGGAATGTCGAACTGAACCCATTATTTCGCTCACTGGGGTAAACTGTTCTAGTTTCACGTGTCATGTGTGTGTGTGTGTGTTGTTTTTTTAATGGATGTCAGTTATCATTTATCTCCTGTTAATTCCCCTCTCCAAGTTCTCCACTGCCTTAACCAGGTATTGAACTCACACTCTTTGTATCCTGTCACTGGATCTAACCTACGCCTTTATCCACTCTGCGTTTGTTAGATCCAGTGACAGGACCCAAAGAGTGTGAGTTCAATACCCGGTTAAGGCCGTGGAGCACTTGGAGAGGGGAATTAACAGGAGATAATTGATAACTGATATCCATTAGGGGGAAAAAAAGGCACGTGGAACTAGAAGAGTCTACCCTAGTGAGCGAAATAATGGGTTCAGTTCGACATTCCACCCACCTGAAGAAGGCCAGAGCGTACAATAACCGAAACGTTGTAATAAATATGGCGACATAGATGAAGACAATAGTCCGAATAATATAAATAGTGTACATAATACCTCATCTCAGAAATATAGACAGATACTGAAGATAAATTCGGGCAAGTAAAATTGTCTAGCACGATACAGTAAACCAACATTCTGAGAAGCAAAACTAGCAATTGATTCAACATAATGTTTACACTTCGTGTCATTACGGCTTCTTGATAATTTTTAGTGGATTAGCTTCCATTTTTCCATGGTTTTCAATTCAAATTTTTGCTTCTCTTTGACGGGCTGCCATAGATGTAGTAACATCTTTTCGGCCCGGATAACCGTTTTGATACTTGCACATTAAACAAATGAATAAAAAAAATATCATCATATCAAACTAAAATCAATTTTGTTTATATCGTACACATTGCTACGATCCTAATGATTAATTGTTTTAATTATCCTGCCGACATCGGCGATTATTAATCCGATTGTCCCTATTGTCAACATTACAACAGATAAATTAATATAACGAACACGCTTACAAGGTATGGTTGGTGTATTCCTTATCATATAAAGATTTTATGATTTATAAGTATTTCTAGTGCCCAATAAAATATATCACCTTTAATTACAGAAAGCATTATCTACATGATTAGAAGAGAAAAAGCCGATGTTGAGGAATCAGAGAGCCTAGTTCGAATTCCAGTCGATCAATTTCATTCACTTACATGCTAGTACCTTTGGGAAAGTTATTAATCATCGTTTTCTACCGTCCCCCCAGCTATGGGTAAATAGCAGGGCATATCAGGATCTATAGCCTTGGATGGCAACTGGTCTAGGAGAAGGACAACTCTGAATGCAAAACCTGTGGATGGCTGTTTGGCGACCTTGTGTCATGTAGTGCACCAGGTCTCTGTATTCGGCCCTTCAAAAAGTGGGGTTGCTTCTGCACAAACCTTTCGCCACTATAATCAAATGATCAGTTGTGTGAGCTGTCGGTACCTAAGAATTGAGATACTTGAGCCTCATACGTTGAATACGACGAGAGAGTCTACCATATATATATATATATATATATATATATATATATATATATATATATATATCTGGATATGAGGTATTATGTACATTATTTATATTAATCGGATTATTGTCCTCAACTTTTTCGTGAAAAACTTATCAAAACGCTTCTGCCGCTGTTCGCTACGGCCTTCTTCAGGTGGTTGGAATGTCGAACTGAACCCTTTGTTTCGCCTTAAGCATAGAAAAAAATACAATATGGGAAGCCAGAGAAAAGCAATGATAGCAACTGGTTGCTATATGGGCTCAGGTAAAAACATGTAATGATAACAGCAAAATTGCAATATGAGCACTGCTAAAAATAGCTGCTGAACACATTAGGTTTATAATAGACAGAAATTCATACCCAGGTGTCCTCGTGGCACAGTGGATAAAGGCATTGGTTACATCTAGTGACAGGACCTAAAGAGTGTGAATTCAATGCCCGGTTAAGGCAGTGGAGAACTTCCAGAGGAAAAATTAACAGGGGATAACTGATAACAGATCTCCATTAGACGTGGCACGTGGAACTAGAACAGTCTACCCCAGTGAGAGAAATAAAGGGATCAGTTCGACATTTCAACTACCTGAAGAAGGCCTGAGCGTACAACGGCCGAAACGTTGTGATAACTATAGTGACAAAGATGAGGACAATAGTCCGAATAATATAAATAATACATATATATATATATATATATATATATATATATATATATATATATATATATATATATATATATATATGTATGTATATATATATATATATATATATATATATATATATATATATATATATATATATATATATATGTATATATATATATATATATATATATATATATATATATATATATATATATATATATATATACATATATATATGTATATATATATATATATATATATATATATATATATATATATATATATATATATATATATATATATATGTGTGTGTAAATATATTAGTAAATATATGTATTTATTATATATATATATATATGTAATATTTTAAATTATGTTTATATGTTGAATGTAATGTCGAAAAGTCTGATATATGTATATATATATAACTTCAGACTATATATTTTATTATCTTTTTCAAATCTTCAAGTTAGTTGTCCTATATGTAGTCCATAAATTTAATTTCGTTAAGTTCGTTTTAATTTATATATTTATTTTTCCATATATATGTGTGTGTGTGTGTGTTTGTGTGTGTGTGTGTAAATACTTTCTAATTATTTTACGTTCGTTTTCCTGATATATCTTTTTTTTATACGTCTGCACCAGATTTTAGATAATATATACATATATATATATATATATATATTTTAGATAATATATATATATATATATATATATATATATATATATATATATATATTGTTTTTTGAGATAGACTGTTTCCCGTATCACGGCTCATCAGTGTCGATAGACGTCCGGTTGCCTCTAGCTGGGATCGAAACCCGATTGAATTGGCATCAGTGTGGGATTCTACCAATAAGTCGTTAGCGCGCAGCAGGGCTGAAAGTGAATTTAAACATATTTATTTTTAGATAAACACACTGTGACTGAGCGAACTCGATTTGTTTTACCGAAGAGTCTTGCATTATTAGCCGTAATAGCCACTGTTTACAAACCCACACTTTCTCCCCAGAGAGCTCAACCGAAATAATTTTTTTCAGGAGCATATATTGTCATCCACAGACAGACTGTTTCGCTGTATCCCAGTGTGGATAGACGACCGGTTGTCACTAGCTAGGTTCGAAACCCGACTGAATTGGCATCAGTCGAGGATTCTGCTACTAAGCCTTTATCCAGGTATGATGTGAACAACTAGATTACAATTAGTACAATTTCAATGTTCGTAATATTTAATTTAAAAGAGGGTTCAATACAAAGTAGAACAATATTCTTTATCTTGTATATTACATCGAATTCATGTCAAAATCGCTACACAATTGCAGTTGTGTTTCGATGTCTATCAGCGCATTACACCAAGCGACTACACAGTACACATAGACAGAACAATCGAACCGAATCACCCAGACATCGTTATTAGAGACAGAAAAAAAAAAAAATGCCTCCTTATTGATATGGCAGTTTATGTTCAAAAAGCTATCAAAATACAAGGACCTCGAAATAGAAACCTCAAAAATGTGGCACGTGCAAACATCAACAATATCTGTTGTAGGTAAAGCCCTCGGATTCATTGGAAAAGATTCCAATAGACACATTAAAGGAATTCCTGATAGCCCATGCCTTAAAGAAATACAAAATTATTTTCACGAGTACAGCCCACATCTTACGAATTTTTTTTTTTATTTAATTGCTCAGTGGAAAATGAAATGACGTCATTTATGACCTTAGATTTCTGAGGAGAACCTTGAAATAAATTTGTACACATGAAAAATCAAAGGAAATAAAATAATAATAATAACGATATTAACTATATACAGAATTCAGTACCTTGGAATCTTTAGTTCTTTATCCCAAATTGACTTGGCTACCAAAAGGATAATCTTCGTGATGACGGATTTAAAATTTCAGTTAACTCACTTATTCGTTGGCTTGGAATATTTCCACTTGCCCAATTATAGGCATTGCGTAAAATCAGGTACAGACTTTTGAAATTTCTTGGGCTCACAATGAGGTAAGAGGTCTTGGGAAATTTGTTACTCACATGATATGTGGAAGGCAAGTGAAACAGAGGGAAACAAGGCATAACCTACCGAGCGAAATTCAGTGAATTGATGGCGAAACAAAATTTAGGAGAAATAAAAAATTAAAAAAAGTTAATAAGAGCTGCAAAGAACAAATAATTGTGGAGTGTCATGGTCGCCAACGTACAGGCAGGTCACAGTGCGTAAAAGAACAAAATATACATGATATACTAAAACCTTTATATTCCGGAAAGAAAAACCAGAATAGCTGAAAGCACGAAATGACACATACCCATTATTATCACGGATAATTTCTGTACTACTTTGTCATACAAGAAATTATATACCAACATGTATATACTTGTCCCCATTTGTTCCACACGGAGAAGTTATAACACGTATGAATACAACAAGCAGTGTGAACGGGAGCAACAACGACATACATTACAATATTTCCCAAAATGAAAACGACCTCGCCGGTCGTATCCTCTATGTACTTGGTGTGACAATGTGGTTTCCTTTTTTCGCGCTAACACTGCGTGTTGGCCTTGATGTCTATCGTCATTGAGCTCTATATCGCAAGCAGGTGTCGTCTCCCAAGAAACTGAAGTAGCTTACTGGCCGTCACATAACCTTCGTGAATTCATCTAATCCGAAGGGGGATAATCACATTTGCATTCCCACGCACCTCTTTAAAATGGAAGAAAAAAAATAAAAGTCTCAAAATTTATTATTATAAACAACTAAAATCCAGTAACGTAATAATGCATTTAAAACAAATTGCTGCTTAAATATCTTTGAATGTTTATCTTTACTCACACAACTGTCGATGAAACGTGGGCTGAAATCTTGAACATAATACATATTCAGTATACATGGATAGTTAGATATATATATTGAACTGACTGTAATAGATACATAGATGGACAGATAGACAATGAACTTAGTGTAATAGATAGATAGATAGATAGATAGATGATAGATGAATAGATAGATAGATAATAGATAGATAATGAACTGACTGTAATAGATAAATAGATGGACAGGTAGACAATGAACTTAGTGTAATTGATAGATAGATAGATAGATAGATAGATAGATAGATAGATAGATAATGAACTGACTGTAATAGATAAATAGATGGACAGGTAGACAATGAACTTAGTGTAATTGATAGATAGATAGATAGATAGATAGATAGATAGATAGATAATGGACTGACTGTAATAGATAGGTAGATTGAAAGACAAACTGACAGACAGATAATAAATTCACTGCAATAGACAGACAGAGAGCGCCATAGATAGATAGATACTAAACACACTGTAACAGATCTATAATGAACTGTAATGAAATAGATAAGTATATAATGAACTGACTGTAATAGATAGGTAGATAGAAAGTTAGTGAACTGACTTTAATACATAAATAGATAGATAGACATCCAGGCAGATAAGAAACTCACTGCAATAGACAAACAGCGCGATATATAGATAGATAGACAGATAGATAGACAGATAGATAATAAACTCACTGTAATAGATATATAAAGAACTGACAGTAATCGTTCACTATTTGTCTACCTATTACAGTTAAATACATAAATATATAATGAACTGTATTAGATATATAATGAACTGACTGTAATAGATAGATAGATAAATAGATAGTGAATTGACTGCAATAGATAGATTATTATAATAACCTCAATATAATAGATATATAAAGTGACTGTAATCATTCATTATCTATCTATTACAGTGAGATAGACAAATATATAACGAACTGTCTGTAAGACAGATGTACAGATAATGAATTGACTGTAATAGATAGATAGATGGATTGATACTCAATGAACTGAGTGTAATAGATAGATAGATAGATAGATAGATAGATAGATAGATAGATAGATAACGAACTGACTGTAATAGATAGGTAGATAGATAGACAAATAATAAACTCAATGTAATAGACAGACAGACAGCACGGTAGATAGATAGATAATAAACACACTGTAATGGATATATAATTAACTGATTGTAATCGATCACTATCTATCTATTAGCCATATAGAAAAATATATAATAAACTGTAAGGAGATAGATATATACCGAAGTGACTGCAATAGACAGATAGATATATAGATAGATATATAATGTACTGAATGTAATAATTAAATAGATAGATAGTGAATTGATTGTAATAAATAGATAATAAACTCAAGGAAATATATATTAATAATTCATTATCTATCTATTACAGTCAGATGCATATATAATGAACTGACTGGAATAGATATATAGATAGACAGATAGAGAACTGGCTGTAATGGACAGATAGGCAGATTGATAGATTGATAGACAGACAGACAAATAGAGAGATAGATAAACTCACTGTAATATATAACTAGATAGATATATAATGAACCGACTGTAATCATTCATTATCTATCTATCTATCTATTACAGTCAAACAGATAAATATATAATGAACTGACTGTAATATATATATATATATATATATATATATATATATATATATATATATATATATATATAATGAACTGACTGTAATACCGAGTTAAACAGCAAAAGTGTCGAGATCGTGTAACAACAAAAGTGTCGAAATCGTGTAACAGCAAAATTGTCTTATAGTTAGATTAAAATTTGAACCGTTGTATCTTAGAAATGAGTGAAGATATATTACTGATATTCTCCGACTCGACGCTACATTGAACAATAAAAATGTATAATTACTCTCAAAGCTTAAAAGAAGAATCGTGATGATATCTATCATGAAAGAAAATGACATGTTCATCATTAATTAATCATAGCTAAGCATTGGAAACTCATGAAGAATTGAAATGAAGTTCAAATATATATATATCATTCCGGGATAATTTTTCAACTTATTCCAGATGATCTTCGCCCTCTCTAACCTTCTAACTTTCTGTCTTAGAGTAACAAGATGCATCACAGGTTTCACGTACGATTTAATTTTCAGGTGTTTTTTTCATTGTTCTTTGCACTGTCATAGTTGAAACTCCTCGTACCAAATATCTTATGAATTAAGTTTGATCTTTTATAATTGATCTCTGTAGCTCTAAGTTGAAATGATGACCCTATTTGCAGTTGTGATCTCCTGATCCAGGTTTTCATCTCTACTGTTCCTTTTTGCAAACTTATTTACCGTTATCTTGATGGTTCTTGAATGGATTTGAAGATGGAAGTCAGAGTATAAATGTTGGTACCATTACTGAAGACCGGAATAATATTTTTCTTCTCATGATTGCTCAGTTGGGAAGACAGTGCGTCTGATACAAAACAATTTTAACCTGTTATCTTTTTAGCTGAATAACTCAAAGGGATTTCCAGTGATTCTTACGATAAATGGTTTTCAGATGGCGAGACGTCTTATCTGAAAACTGGTGAAAAGAAATCCAATTAGTTTAGTGTTTTCTTTTTAGATATTAACCATTTTGTGGGATGGACAGTTACGCTCTAACACGATTTTAACAAATTGGCTGTTAAACCCGGTATAATGAACTGACAGTAATAGATTGATAAATATATAATGAACTGACTGTTTGACTGTAATAGATAGAAAGATAGATAGATGATGAACGGACTGTAATAGAGAGATAAATAGATAAGAAACTGACTGTAATAGATAGATAATGAAATATACGTGTGCGGGTGCCATTCGGAGACAGTACTGTTTCGCTGTATCACAGTTCGTCAATGTGACTAGACATCCGAATGCCTCAAGCCAGGATCGAAAACCAACCGATTTTCCTGTCAGGCAAAATTTCTACCACTGAGCTATCATTAAGCGGAGAGAAACAGCTATATCTAGCGTATTGTTTTTACGAATGTGAAAAAATGCCAATCAGCCGGAGTGCTCTATTCATTTTACTGACGAAGTTTGCTTTGGCACAAGTGGTTGTTGTTTAAATAATTAGCTTATCATTCAACAGTGCTCAATTGAAATATAATTTCAAGAGCTAAATTATGTATATATATCATGTATATATATATATATATATATAT